TAGCGATAAAGACAAATGCTACTAAGTAATTTTATGTAGGTAGTTCAAACTAGAGTGAATAATAACACCGCAGATACAGCGATTACGTGCAAGATGTTTATATAAAATACCACACATGGCTTGTGCACCAGTCTTGCCTTGCTAGAAGCTTTAAATCCCATCCAGGTTTTGTCTGGTTCGCTAAAAACACTCGCTCTATTTACCCATATTTTCTCATCGTGCCGTGTCCACCAATGCCTTACTCCTTTGCTAAGGTTTGCTGCCTGAATTTGGGAAATTGGTTTCATTGAAAGGGGTAATGTGCGGTCTGGACACAACAAATTCTTAATGCCCAATTTAAATTACAGCTTTGATATTGGGGCGTGCGTTTCCTGGGTACTAACTTGTTACGTTTAGCCCGAAGTGTGAATGCAATTCCCCAGAGGTTATAGTAGTAAGAGAGGGGTGGCAAATCGAGTGGATTAAAGTTATTTAAACCAGCATGAATCAGAGTAACCTGTCTTGGTAGATTTCTTCCAACTTGCCAAAAACAGGGCTTAACCTGCTATCCGAGCATTATTCGGTTACACAAGAACCCCTTTGTGCTGTGTGGCCTGAAAGACTTAATGTTGCCATTTTACCTGGTATGTTGATATGGATCCCAGAGGCTAATAGCTGGAATCCCGTATTTGTGGCACTTCAAAGGTTCCAAAGAATAAGAGAGGACGGTAGGTTGTGCGGAGGGCCTTACTGTCTGAGCCAAAGCTTCGAGCACAAGCTGGTGTCGAAGCGCAATTCGGTGTAGAAGTCGGCGAGTGCTCAGTTGTGCCCAGACGTACATGCCCGGGGCGATTGGCGATCGATGGGGTGAGTAATCAACAATGAGTGATGAGTTTTTGGTGTGAACATCAATGTGGCGTAACTGTAGAGTTTTAACTGTTTCCCCAAAATAATTCACAGGCATTAGTGCCAAGATCGGGACATAATATACTTTTGGATGAATGATAATAATACGGATAGCATTAATTTCAGTAAACTGTTTTATGGATAGACGCTTCACTCAGGACATCTAAAACTTGTCAATGCACAGCAGTTTGAACCAAAATTTTGCTATTTCTCAATGCCTCAAGACATCTCAAATCTATTGACCTTCGTGCAAAGTATTCGTGCATCAGCTTTGTATAAGTACGTTGAATAAATCTGATCACGTGTGCAACATCCTGAATCACGACCGAATGCTGGCAATTACCCATTAATCATGTCCCATTTTCCCATCAGCGGGAGGTACTTATTTGTACTTATGTGACTTTTCAATCTAGCATCACGTGACTGGCCGAATTGAACAGTCTGCATAAGTAACCTCAAAAGTTTGCTAATCACCAGGCCCCCCAGAGAATATTTGATATTTTATCACACCACTTATCCATTAGTAATGAATGATTTACTTTCGACCTAGTGGTTAGGGCAATTATCGATTTCTTTCCTGTTTGGGAATCTCAAGTAGGTTAACCCGACAAGAAGGGGTAGTCAGGTAATTCAAACCAGGGAATATTTTCCATGCATCGCCTGGCCTACCTGAAGTGCACGCATAATTTACCTTAGATTTTCTGCCGGAATTTCGAAGACATTAACAAAACTTCTTCAAACCGAGACTAAGTACCACATTTAGGCAGTTTACTAATCCAAATTTGCCATTATCTTGAATCGACTTTTAACTTTAGAAATTGTTGAGGTCAAATCTATTAATGTTTGGCTGGTTATGTAGGTTAGTTACTGAAATTAAGTAAACTACGAACAGAAAACCGTTAGAATCGATTTTAGTTAGGTTTTAATTCAACATTCGTGCCAATCAGCTTGTCACACATTTGTGACGTAAAGTGCATTAAAGTTGCTACAGTCACCGCTTTGTTAAGATTTATCACGTCGGGTTCATCAATTGCTGTAGACCTCGGCATGTGGGCTCGAACCAAGCCCAGGCCCGATTACGCTACTCAGATTCCCGAGAAGATAGGAAGAAGACCATGAACGGGGGAGACACGACCTTTTAGTGGACAGTTGAACCAAGTTGTGCTGTGTGAGTGCGTGCCACAGTGGTGCTTGTCCAATACCGATACTCCATCAATACACAACAGGATAAATGGACGTGAATTAGTAGAATTCACTGAAGCCCACAACCCCCATGTCAAACCCTCCACAAGTGGTAACTTCAAAGCCAGATCGAATTCCAAAAGAAGGACAATTGTGCATAAACAGTCAGCAATCCAGGCAAGACACAGCTATAGTCTTAAATTCAGGATATCATACAGTTAGCAAGGCTGTCTGCATTAGCGCAACTGTAGTACCCTTATTGATTGCTCGGGTTTTTTTAATTGTAGCAGTTAGTAGGTTTTTGCAAAAAATTACCTGAATTTACCGTATTACAAAAAAAACTTGGTTTGTTTTTAAAAATTTGAGTCTCCAAAAAAACTCGTTAAATTGTAAGCACTTTTGGATCCTGCAAATAAAGCAATCGGTTTGAGCATCTGAATTAAATATATGCAATGCGCTCTCCTGTCTATTCCACATTTCACTACATCTTGAAATCAGAGCGCTTTAAACAAAACAGCCCAGGAAACACGAGGGAATCATATTGGCATTCTTTAATGCCATTGGATTTTAATGGTTCCACAACACACATTTTATCGTCACTTCGCGTGAATTTTAGCCGTGTTTATATTTCGCTATAACTAATATGACATTTCAAAAAAATCTGAAGAAGACGTAAGTGTGTGGGCTTGTTAGATAAACAATTTTGCATCAGTAAATCTTTTGCCTTGCTTGTAACATTTAGACATACACGAAATTTTGCACGTTTTTTGTAAGAAAATTAAATCTCTTTTTTGAAGCAAATGTCAGAAAAACTGTAAAACAAAACTTGCCCTTTTTCCTTACTTTTACAGGCATATTTTAGTAGGCGCTGCCTTGTGTAGGAGTTCGAGTTCTCGTACCTTAGAACTGACGTCCGACTATACCAGTTAATACTTTATCATGTGTTCGATTTTCTTGCCAGGATTTTGAGTTGATCTTGGGGACTTTATATGGACAGTTTTCTAAGTAAAATATGTTGTGGTCCTTCAACCACACCAGGGCCACTGAGTTGGATCTGGCTCGATTACGCTACCCAGCTACTCGCGATGAAGAAGAAGACCGGAGAGGACGTGGACACCATCGTTGACTTTAGTGTCGTGTCGTGGGTGGCGCATGCTCACGTGTATTTATAGCTCAGACGTGTGAGTCATAGATCTTCTAACATCGAGACCTAGGTGTGAGGATAAGCCAGGATAACCGTTCGCGCTAGTAAGGAGGGAGTTGGGGATCCGCGTGGCTAAAGACAAGTTGTGAAAGGGGGGACCAAGTGTCGGAGGCTGGGGTGACCGGATTAACGAGTGTAAGAAAATGCGATTCACAGCAGATACTTGTTAAGGCTGCAATCCACTTTATTTCACAAATGTACGTAAAACCTATTGGAAGGAATGTCGATTTGCAAATCGATTGAAATTCCATCCCGCAATTGTTCGCTTGTGTTTTACTTCACTGCCTCAAGAGGAAAACCCAAAGCCCTTTCTTGCTTGTAAATTTATCTAGTCCAAACTAATGTACACACCAAACTTGATGCCGTTTTCGAACACTTGCACAAATGGGGCAGTGGTGTTAGCTTTGAACAGCTTTTACATGATGCAATTAGAAACCCCAGGCTGGTTCTAAATCCACTTTTGTTGAATACCTCAATCACATTCTTCCTCCAACTGCTAGGGTCTGACCAAATAAACAATAAACAACAGAAGCCAGAAATACGCATAACTTATTAAGGCATTAATTAACTTTTTCATTGTTTCAGCACATATGGGAAATGCAGAAAAAGGCATAAACTTGCCTCGTAATGGCTTTACTTTGTAACAAAGTGTGATTTGATGACTACACCTTGTGGTGGGGTCACCAATTTTGTAACGACCATCAATGAGGTTTTTTGGCGAACCACACCAGGGCCGGCGATCTACACTGACATAGTCCGACAGGAGGATAAGCAAAAATGCAGACGGCGCGTAGCTCAACTAATTTATTGATGCAGCAGCGGTGTGTGTGTGTGTGCACAGGGGAACAAGTGCGTTTATATACGTTGGCCAAGCATCGATCTCTGAACGAACGTAGTTGCGTGAAGTGAATTCACGAAAATCGATTGAATTGTGTTCGCTCACGCTTGCACACTGCGTTCGCTCACGACTGCTAACTATGTTTGACACAGCCTCTTCCTCGTGCACAAAATCTCGAATATTGGGTTTTAACGAGCCAGTGCATGCCTCTTTGATGAGGCTTAAGCAGGTAATAGGTTATCAAGTTTGCTTCACAAATTGACGCCCCGAAGTGTGTAGTTTTAGTGGTTTAACCTACGAGACAGGCAATTTCACCTTCCGAACAGTTTTGTGACGAAACCGTGTTCGCTTGACACCCGGGTCATGTTAGTCACCGGACAGTGGTTGGTTTTTACAACTAGGCCACGAACACGTTAACATGACATGTTCCAGGGCCCATAATTTTTGTCCTGATAGCAAGGATTAAAATTCTCGCTTAAGCGAATACACGAACAAATTCATGCGCAGTACACCAGCACTATTCAAATTTCTTTAAAAACTGACACTTATTTTGTGCACAGTTAAGTAAATTCATTTGCCTTCAACTACTTCTGTACTTATTCAGTAAACAGACTTAAATTGTTATTTAAATGGTCGTTTTTTGTTTAGGTCTGTTGATTTAAATCAAAGATGAAGATTCCGAGTGGACAAGGTGGAAAGGCGTTCTCATACGACTTGTAATACAAGGCAAGAAAGCATTGAGGTAAAGCAATATCTCTGACAACTCAGTTCACACATAAAGCAATCTGTGTCTATGTACAAACAAAGGCGTGAAATTTAGCAAAATTCAGCAAAAACATCAAATCGTCGCGAGAGAAAGATGGGCCGGCGTCCGAACCGCTCTTTCTGCTCCTAGCTATATAGGGAAAACTTCTTATTTTTGGCGCTCTTAAGTTGCTTTTCCGAGGAATTATTGAAAAAGTTAATCCTGTCCGCCACACTGCCCTGGGGTTTGGAAAGTTTTACCATCTGCATTACTACCGAGTCTGGTGTTCGTAAATTTGGACGTCCGGAAGCTGATCCGCTGGAAGGCTGGAATGGGGAGTTTGAATTTGCGGCGGTGGTGGTTTTGGCAGGAGCCGTCGTTGGCCTCTCTGATGACAGTAAACTTTTTGGTGCTGCTACAGACGGCGATGCCTTGACTTCTGCGTTAGGCTTTTGAGAACTAGACGTCGGCGACTTTGCCGGCACCTGGTTTTGGTTCCTACCGGGAAGGGATTGAACGTTTTGTATTTGCACTGCATTGGTTACCTCTGGTTTAGGTAGGTTGCTGCTAGGCGCAGGTTTGTTGGAATTCCTTTGTAGTGGTGTTTTAGGCTCTGGTTGAGTTGGATTCATATCACCGGTGGGTGGTGAATGCACTTTAGGATTGTTTGCAGAGTGGACACCATTGGGGCTTTGAGGTAAGTTGGGTGGAGATTTTGGTGGGATTTGGTTCGGCGTTGGACTCTTAGGCTGCTCTCGAACCCCTTCTGGCCTTTTTACATCAGCCTCTGAGGGATTTGTAACCATGATTTGAGGACGCTGCTTGGTGTTCGCCGGCGTGATTTTCGGCAGTTCGGCTACAGCAATCGACCTTCGTGGGTCAAGTGCGGGCTTGCTTGGCTCCTTTGGGCCACCAAAGGACCGCTTCCTAGTTCTGTCAATCTCTAAGCCAACGCCTGGTGCACCTTCACGAATGGAGGACCTGCGAAGGAGGGCAGCCGTTTTGGTGCTTTTGGCTTGAAGCAGTTTGCGCAGATCCGATTCCTTGTCAGAAGTATGCGTCAAGACGACACCCATTCGTTGGAGTGCAATTATTGCATTCACTGCCTTCTACAATTCACAGGAAAGGCCACGTGTACTACACCACCATAATTCAAAATAGATTATCAGCCTAAATTACTAACCTGCCACTTGCGTCTGTAAACGAAATGCCGCAGACGCTTCTTGTTGACAGTTGCTGTTCTTTTCAGACGGGGTCTTTCCTAGGCAAAAAATAGTGTTTTCGGATGGGAAGCCAAACAAAGCAACATTCTCCTATTACCTTCAGGTGCCAACGAGATGGTGAAAGCAGAAAATCAACGCGTCTAATATAGTTGAACGGATTCCAAAGAATATCCTTCAATTATTTTTTTCAAATTTTGAAATAACTATAGGCTAACGTCTGCATTTAAATGATGTAAAGAAAATTAGACATTATTGGTGTGTAGTTCTTGCCACAATTGTGATTCCGGTGCAGAAATGTCACGTAATTATCATTAAAAGACATTAAAATTGAAACTTGAGAAGGATGTAACTGGGTGAATTAACTTAATGATTTAGACTTTAGCGAACTAAAGATACAAACAGTTGAAAACGGGTCGGCTGACAAGACTAAAACTGGTCGGCATTTTGGGCAGTCAGAACAGGCATAAAAGTTTCTGCTCGGTTGTATAATTTATTGTACAGGGACTCACAAAACTAGATACTCGAGGGCGCAAATGCAATTAGGGACACCTATGCGTTAGCTAAAGCCAAGGATTAAAACGCATCAGCCCAAGGACTGCACTGTTATCACGATAGGTTATTGATTTTCTATAACCAAAACATTACGCTGCCGTAGTGAGAAATAATGATAAATCATGGCAGAATTCCACTACGAGCTTCAATTTTCTCAAAGTAGATGAATTATCTAGCGCCAAATTAAATCGCAGTGGTCATTAACGATGCAATTTGCAAACACTCAAACCCTATAACTGGGATGTCACTCATTCTGCAGAACAGCTCTGAGGCCATGTCGAATTGGCTCTAGGTATTGTAAGTGTGTGCGTGTGTATGTGTGTGTGTACATGACAGCCAAGTTGGCTCGCCGCATTGAACTGCGGTAGGAGCCCCAGGGACTGCACGGCGGTGGAGGAGGCTTGACAGCAGTTGGACGCACATTCCACCCGTGTTTAGGGCCATCACCTCCCATTGGCCGAGTTAATCATCGTTATTGCGCCCAGATTCCACGTTAATAATAGTATTAGTTGGGGTGCACTGCACACTGGCCAAGTCGGAACACACATCCGAAATCAATCTGTGTGGTTGTGGGAGCACATTTTTCCCAAATTTTATGTATCCACTCCGGTAAACAGCACTCTCAGATGCATCAAAGTCACCTCGAGTTAGTGGAACACATCGGAAGACTGTACTAATTTAACCAGGTGACTTGTTCTTCATCAAAGTAATTTTGACGCTGTAAGATCTCAGCGTGTCTGGCTAGAACGAGGTAGAAAGCTGAACTAAATTGGAAAATTCCACCACATTCCTTCGAGGCGAAATGTCAGGATAAAGGGAGTGTCTGTTAGGCACCGTGACAAACGCCGTGCGTCATTTCTGCTTTTGAAATCAATGTCAACCGCCTGAACTAGCGTGCTTTTGTTACTACATCAAGCTACTGAAACGAGTTTTGCAAGTTCACTGACTGTTATGTCAGTTGCAGTCCTGAATACAATATGAACGTCAAAGTAGTTGTTTGGGTTACCAGAAATGAAATAATAACTGACACTATTGAAGATCCTTTACATTCTTAATGTTGAATTATTCCATTATGGGTCACCCAACCATAGACTTGAGACCCTCGAATGTTATTCCCTACCAGAATTTCCGTGTGCACTGACTAACCCATCACTGGTCAGATTCCCCTAAGTTCAAGCATATTCAGTGGTTTAAGTAGATGTGGCTTTTACCAAGGCGATGCCGTGACCTTCGTCCCTACAAATCCTCAACTCGGCAACCAGATAAAATGATGGAAGCATGTGTAAATGACGTTCTTAAGAGGCAAGCCCCCATTTGAACGTACCCTCAGCCAGGGGTGCGACAGACACTGCGTTGCCGAATTCCGCTTGCTAAAGTGAAACAGACGACTTGACAGATGGAGCCAATCACACGCTCTAACCGGACTTGTGCCTCGATTACTTCTAGCAGGAACCAACCTTGGATTCTTGTGAAGGAGTTTCCGGATAAAGTCTTTCGCATCTGCCGAAATGTCCTTGAACTCGGGGTAGTCGAAGGTGTAGTTGCAGCGGACAATGTTGCTCAGCGTCTCGCT